CGTTGAACGTTGCGATGCTCTAGCGCTGTACCGCAAAAACGCATAATTAACTGCCACTACTGGCAGTTCCGAGTACTTCTGCCTCTCATACCGAGTGAATACAGATGGTCTTTTGGCTTTGGTAGTTTTGAACTTAAAATTTTCGAAAATTTTTTGGTTTAATTACTCTTTTTGAGCAGTTGATTGTTACTGAATGATTTTCGGTCATTTGCAAAGTAATGGATTTTTTAGGCACGTAGAAATATTCCAGAAGCATTATTAACATGGGATACCCACACTGATTGTCCGGACGTTTTTGGTATTCTTGGTTTTAATTATGCTCCAATGTAATGAGACTTTTTTTGTAGGAGTTCGATGCCAAACGTATTCCGTGTATTTTGTGTTGTTGCAAATATCGTTGTTATAATTCACTGGAACGCATGTATATATTTTTTTATCAGCGAATTGATTGGCCTTGGCTCCGACGGATGGGTCTACGGTGAACTCAACAAACAAAGCCTACCCGAGTAAGTAACCAGTAAAATAAGCAATAATATCAACTTCAAACGTATCCATTCAGCTGCTCCTTCATCGTTTTGCGCTTCGGGACATCCTTGCTGCAATTGGGAATTTCTTCATGGTTAAAGTGATGCACATACGTCGAATAGGCAGTGAGTGCTAAGTGAGTAGTATGCAGCTCAGGATCGAGAGACCTGACACAGCTACGAGCCCGGTGTGGGGGAGTATTTCAGTAAAATCACTAACAATAAAATCTTGGTGCTGATATTCGGGGAACACAGACTACATTTGGGGAAATTTAGCATCCGTTGAATGTTTCAGTGGTGTTGAGGATACGCTAGCAAGGCGTTATATCTACAGTTTCTACTGGTCCACATTGATTTTGACAACAATTGGTGAAGTGCCTGGTCCTCAGCGAAATATTGAATTTGTTTTTGTTATTCTCGATTTGATGTGTGGTGTGCTCATTTTCGCTACTATTGTCGGTAATGTTGGCAGGTATTGTTTTTTGAAAAACTAGTCACTTTTTATGCGTTTTGTACTGTGTAACAGCAGTACAAAACGGGGTTGCCTGTGTATTTTTACGGGGTTGTCTGTGTGTGTGTTTCCCAAATTTTGTCCCCGCACTTTCAGCTCGGGAACCACAAAAGCTAGGCGGTTGAAGCTTTAGCATAGTGCTCATCCCTCCTCCCCTCAAAGTGTGACGTGACAAATTTAAATTCAGCCTTCTCGTACCAGCGGGTAACACGTAGGGCTCCGTAAAAGTTTTGGTGGG